CTTACAGTACCAGGTGTTCCCAAGCGGTCCCCCATATAAGTACTGATCTGGTTCTACGATGCTTAACATCGGTGATCGAACGAGAACCGGTGTGTTCATCGTGATTTGACCGTAAGCATGGTCGTTAAACCTATAATATCCACTGCATACCAACCTTACGCAAACAGTTTGGTTTAGTGTTTTCACGGGCAGATTTTAAAACTCTTTATCAGCAAACCACCATTCCATAAATTGATAGAACTTACCGAGACTTTAAAGATAAGATATAAACAATAAAGAATATAATTAATTAAGACCTGGGACGAACAGAACATTCTTCTTCTTTTTCTATGTGCCGTATACTTTCAAAATGTAGGCTATCATCGTTCTCCATATTTCACTGCCCTCTCTAGCTGTTAGTAGACTTCGTCTATGCTGTCTCTCCTAATCCTTGTTTCACAAAACTTTTACATAAATTTCTTACATACGTTTTGCGCTTCTTCCTTATTTCAAAGCCATCTTTCTTCATTGTATGGCGCAGAAATTTCAACTGTATCTTTCTGTTATTAAACAAAAGTGTCTTTTTTCTTTCTTTTTTCTCTAAAACTTTTCCGTTGTTCACAATTTCAGGCCATGTTATCCTCGGCGTCCTTCTGTAGAACGATTTTTCTTTGGCCTCAAATCTATTTTTCATCTGAGAGGAGAATGTCCAACATTCACTGCTATACAATGATTTGACATAATATCTTAGCAGTGATTTGATATTATAAAATATTTTTTGCAGTGATTTGATATTACATAATATCTTAGCAGTGATTTGATATTACATAATATTTTAGCACCCATTTCTTGGTTTCTAGCGTTATTTTCCTATTTCTTAATACTTTACTTTGTTTTTGGAAGGCAGTTTTCGCTATCTGAATGCGCCTTCGCTTATGATATCCCATTTTCCATTCTCTCTGAAAACACTTCTCACAAAGTTAAATTTTTGTACTTCTTGATTTTTGACATTTCCGCTTTATAATTCACATCTGGGACTCTTAGTAATGTTTTCTGTGTTCCTACAATTGATGTTTAGTTCTTTCATCTCAGTTTCAGTTACTATAGCATTTCCTGCAGTTTCCTTTACCAATACTGTGTCATTCACTATGTATAATATTTTCTGTTTCAGGATATTATTTATGATCTAAACGCATATGTCCCCGAACAAGAATAAATTACCAATCAGAGTGTTCTCTCTAACTATAACTGGCAGGTAAATTTCAAAATCAATTTCACTTAATCCTTTTCGATCGGATGTAGTAGAAAACAACACCACGGGATCAAATTTAATGACTATCAGTTCATTATGTTTTCATTCTGTTTTTGTTTTTAAGTGGGCCTCGCAAAACAAATATAAAGCAAAATTGGTAAACCCTAAATTAGCAGAGGCATTAAATTATTAGCTTGGTGCTGTCGACATCAAACGAACCGTCTCTAAGCAACTTCTTTCCTTTTCGCCAACACACTGACCCCGAAACTCTCAGCTGATGAATGAACTTAATTCCTTCTCTATCAGTACGTCAACCACTCTCATACACTCATACAGCTTTTGTTTGAAAACCAAATTCATTCGTTATATCACACGTGTGATCATTTTGTCGGCATCGTCTCTTCGTTGCATTGCCCGGCCACGTCATTGTTGAATGTTGTTGGTATGGAAGTAGGATTTTAACCTTCCTGATAATAAGCTTCATTAATGTTAATATTGATATTAATTTAATTTCTCTATGCGGAAGGAAATAATATTCCAGATAGTTGGCCGAACTTTCATGAAAACCAAATGGTGAATGTGAGAACAGGTGGAGAGTTTTTCAGCAGTGGCGACAACCGTGTTTGTCACAAGCCACTCACAGAGAGTATCTGCACTAGTTTCCGAAGCACGACTTAAAGTACGGCTCGAAAGGGCATAAGTAATTGTACCTACTAAGTTGAACAGCGTTGTGTAGATGTAAACTTGTTCATTACACATAGGTCACTATACCCACTGTTATAGTTTCCGTCATCATGGAACAGCATAATAAAAAATATCCAAATGTCGGATATTATTGTCTTTATTTTCTACCGAAATTAAAGCAACTATACGAAGTTTAGAATGGCTCATGATTAAACATAATAGATATTCATTGTGTGTTATATTTAACAATATATGTTTCAATATATATATATATATATATATATATATATATATATATATATATATATGGGACAAAGTGGTCAATATCAGAGATAGAGCGTATGTAAATATAAATATAAAAGTGAACATTGAAGTCAACACTCAGAGGCTGTTTCATGCTAGACGCATTGCCGATTGCGTCTAGCATGAAACAGACTGTCGCCGCTGAGGGTTGACTTCAATATTCACTTTTATATTTATATTTACATACGCTCTATCTCTGATATTGGCCACTTTATCCCATAAACATAGCACATCATAAAACTATATTTCTTCATATATATATATATATATATATATATATATATATATATATTGACATCGACATCTATCTATTTATATAGAGAGGCAGATGGAAAGTGTGGCCATTACACATTGGATGCTAGTTTCATGATTTAATGTTATGTTTAAACAAACGATTAGTCCGAAAATAGCTTTGAAGCTGAGAAAGAAGATATATATATATTTACAATTTAGATCAGTTCATTCTGCTCGCTTCTGTATATATATATATATATATATATATATATATATATATATATATATATATATATATATATATATATATATATATATATATATATATATATATATATATTGAAAATATACCATTTATTTCTGGTATTGTCATTGTAGCAATTTTCATGGCGACCTCCGTGTATTTGGTCGTTATATCAGATGCTCTTAATCAGAACATTTCACTTCTCTGATTTTCGCCTCTGTCGATCTTTACTGATAGCTTTTTTTTTTTTTGAATCCACTTTTAAAGAAAACGTTTTCTTTTTGTTTAAATATCTTTAGTTTTTATAAAACTATTTTTAAAGCCCAAAAGCAAGTCTATGTTTTATCATATTCATTGTGTTCAAGAGTACAATTTATCTTCTTTGGCTGACCGAAACGGTGTCGTTTCCTTTTGACGCGTACGCTTACAAGTTCTTAAACTTGCACCATATTACACCTTACAATTCACAGCAACCTTGCTTTGCCGCAGAGATTTCCTGGGAAAAAAAAAGATTCCAGGAATAGAACTTCTTACAGTGAGACTCTTTCCAATACCTGCATCGATTGTCGCGTCCATGTTTAGTATGGGTCGCAACAATTGCAAATTTTCATCAGCTGAAAGGGAAAATATAGGTGACTCTATTTTATTTTTTTTTCCATCGGCTTTTTTGAATATATGTTTCGTTCTTTGTCCATTTTCCGCTTCAATTTTCACCTTTTACTTTCCTTGATCATTCATTCAATCTCGTGTTCCTCGAGTTATTCTTTCGTATTCTTGTTAGTCAAATTGATTTTAATATTTTTTTCGTTTTGCTTTCTGAAATATAAATGTACATATGTTTTTTTTAAGATATTTGTTACTTCTTTCATATTTGATTTTTTTTTTAATTTTCTCATTTTTTTTAAAATTTTGACTAATTCTTATTTTTTATGTCTATTCCTTAATTGGTATATTATCTTTTTTAAATATTTTTTCTAAGAATTCCATCATATCTTATATTAAGTTTTTCTTTCATTTTTATCTTTCTTCTGTTTTTTTATTTCTCTGAATATTTTCGTTCTGATCACGTTTAAGCCCGTCCTTTATAAATTCTATTTAATTTTCTCTATTTCTTTCAATTTTTTGGCTTTCTTTTTTCGTTCTTTTTTTTTCTTCTCCTTTACGAAATGCATTTCCTTGTTTTACTGATTCTTTTTTTCATTATTTTTCATTCGTCGTTTTCCATCTTTTTTCTTTCAATTCATGCTTTCTTTCAAACCATTATTTTTTTTTCTGTTAATGTACGCTTTCCCTCCTTCTACTTCCAAGATTTTCCTTTTTTATCGTTAAATCTTTCTTTTTCTCGTTCGTTTTCCTTCTTCTTAATTTACATAATTCTATTTTTTCATTCACATTTTTATTTTAATTTTTTTATCATTGTAAATGATATCATTTGATATTTTAATCGTATTCTTGCTCAATATATACATTTAAATTTAGCCCATTCACTCCTTCTGTATATTATACGTGTATTTAAAAATGAACCACTACATTTTCTTTCTTTTGTTTTACTCTTTTCTTCTTATTAATTTATTTAGTACGGGAAATAAATCTTCTTCTCTTTCCTTTTTCTCTTCCTTCGATCACTCTTTCATCACTCATTTCTTTTTTTTTTATATATTCCTTTTTTTTTCCAACAGATTTGCTTTTTTCTACATCCCCAAAATGGAACGTAACAATTTATTCAACTCTACATCGATCGTTCTTTATATTTTCACACATTATCTCAATCTTGAAGCAATCGGGTGTCCTTTTTTTTCTTTTTTTTTTTTTTTAAGCATTAGGCCCCGAGCAAGGCGTGAAGCCACAATGATGCAGCGGGTTGCAGAAGATTTGGAGCAAGAGCAGATAGGAATGATAGAAGAAAGGATGAGGAGAAGGACAGTGGATAGATCAAGGTAACTGGAGATGTCGATAGACATTACATTTGAATAGTCGGAGATTATAGCTCTCAGGGAAACAGTAATTGGGAAGGGTGATCCACAGGCGAGAGGTGCGAGGTATGAAGCTATTGGAGTAGAAGAAACGGCTACATTTAAAAGTTTCTACAGTGTAAGGATGGGAGCGGGATCCCAGTCTCGTAGGGCGCTTGAATTCATGGAGTTAATGAGTTGTGAAACAGGCTTATATATATATATATATATATATATATAATTATTGTGGTGTCTTCCATCTAATGAGGCTATTGTGGACTCTTCCACTTATTATAAAGTAGTAGGAAATTAAGCATCGGTGAAACGGTGCTGTACACCGTTCATTACTGTCAAACTCTCTGCTTCGGCGGAGAAGAACCCGGACGAGGCTTAGCTAAAGTGCAAAGTTTCGTCCGGGGGAGGTAGACAGGCCCTGAACCCGTTTATACGGCCTTGTGCCACATACG